TCTATAGGCTCCAGATGAGTGGTCCAAGAACCTTCCTAGCCTCAGGGCCTCCACTCTAATGGGGCAGGGGCAAGAAGAACAAGAATATATTTAGCACCCAATAGGTTAAACACCAATATCATCAGCCCAGCCCAGACACCGCACAAGGCTTGGGGAGTTTTCTGTCCAGTGGAGAGGAGGAGACCCAAACTCCATGACAAGAGCTCCTGGCTCCTACAGTGCATGCTGGGAACTAAAGTGAACTTCCCCAGATGCTTCATGTTATGTGGGAGTAAGGGGTTCCTGGAGCTCACTATTCAGTGTGCTATGACACCCTTGGATGGGAGGAGAGAGGACTCCCACTGCCAGAGCCTGGTCCCCAGGGCCTCCTTCCACCCCCAGCCCCTGCTTCATTCTGCTCTGGGGTTTACTTTGCCCCTATTTGCCTTCAGAAAATGGGAACACTCTCCCCTCCCAAGCCCCTGGTACTGTGGTGAGACTCAAGACCTGGTATGGAACTTGAAAAATAGCCCCATCTGCTTGTAATCCTGAAGATGAGGGTATCCCCCATGATTTAAAAAAAAAAAAAAAAAAAAAAAAAAAAAAGGAAAGGAAACCAGGAGGCAGGATGCAGGGGGACAGATAAAGAGCAGCACAGTAGGGGAGACAAAGCAGACCGAAGCCCTGGGCTCAGATCTCAGATCTCCCTCTGGGAGAACGGAGGAGAATGTGTACCCACTGAGGGCCTATTTGAGACCAATATGTCACATCTGTCATCTCACTTTGTCCTCATATGACCCCTATGAAGTGGATACAGCTCCCCCATTTTGCAGATGAGAAACCCAAGTCTTTGAGAGGTTAACTCGCTCAAGGTTATACAGTTAATGAGACACTAAGACCAAACCTTAGGCCCATGGTCTTTAAAGCCTGTGCCCTTGCCAGCATAGCACTGTTGTCTCCCAATCAAGAGATTTAATCTCTGAGCACAGCGTCTTCCTGTGTAAAATGGAGGAGGAAGGGCAGGGGGAGGGGAGGATTACATTGCCTCATAGAGTTGTTACGAAAATTAAATGAGATTATATTGGTTACAAACATAAAAACCTGGCATGGTGTCTGGTATATAGTAGGCGCTCAATAAATGCTTTCTGCTTGCTTGCTTGCTTTTCTTCTCTTTAGGTTAATATTAAAACTCAGAGCTTGGGAACCTAGGACCTCCAAAATACTTCAAGAAACCCGAGGGCCGCCCATCGCTCCTGGGGGAATGGGGAAGTAGGGTAAGGAGAAGGACTGAGAAAGGAAGCTCGGCTCCTGAAATCAGAGAGACCTTTACAGCTGTGCGCCCCTCGCTCCGCCGCCTCCTTTGGGCTCCCCTGACTTCCCGCCCCGCCCCGCCCCGCCCCGGAGCTGGGTCCGGAGTGCCTGGTGGGCTGATTCCCGAGCGTGGAAGGGAGACGGAGGGGAGAAAGAGGCGGCGGCGGCGGCGGCAGCGGCGGCGGGAGGCAGGGAGGAGGGGAATCCTCCTCTCTGCTCTCCCAAGTCGGCGCGGAGCCGCCTCGGGCC